CAGCTTTGATTTCCTAATGCAGCTCCCTTAGGCACAGGGAAAGAAAACAGGTTGTAATTAAAGGTGCATTCCAACCCCCACCCCCAAATGCATGCCCCAGGGACAGGAGGGAGCGGTTACTGGAGAGGTGGAACTGCAATGATAGCAGTCAAGCTAAAACTGCCCTAACTTGTTGTGTGTAGTAATTACATATCTACAGATCATCTTAGTATTATATTCTCCTAGCCACACCCTCCTCTAATTTTCCAAGTTTCTGCCAACCTCCTCTGAGTACTTTTATTCAAAATCATGATCTCCTTTCTTTACATACAAAGAACAATGATAAAACTGGCCAAAAATGGTACTCATCACCTGCAATCCTAGCACTTGGATGATGATGCAGAAAGACTGCCCTAGGCAAGGTTGACAACAGAGTAAAGTTCAAGACCAACCTGATAACACAGTGACACCTGTCTCAAATATAAAAAAAAAAAAACAAAAACTGACTCTTGAGCAGGGGGATAATTTATTGTCTTTTAACACCCCCGAAACAAACAAAAACCCAGAGGCAAAAAGAAAACTCTAACCTAACTCAAACACTACATCCAACACATTTGTAAGTGGATGTATCTTCATCAAGGAGCAGATCAAAAGATTGTGCTGTGCACTCTGATGAATGTCCTCAGACAGCACAGAGGGGAAGCCTGCTTGCACTTAAAAAGAGAGGAGGCTAAGTTAAATCCAAAATCTTGCACTGAGGAACAGTGCTGAGTGCTGGTGCAGATCAGAGACTTGGCCTTTCACTGCAAACACGATCAAGGGTGCTGTGGTTTTGATGACATTCACTTGATAAGGGAGAACTTGTAGTTTCATAGAAAATCGGAAATGTTTGTAGAAACAGGTTCACAGCTATAAAACAGCCATTGGGCAAGGTGTTAAAACGGAATCTTGAATTTAAAATTCAACATAAACCTATGGACTAATTCCTCAAAAGGACTTCAGTAATATCCAGGAGGCTGAAAATAATGCATATAAAAGTATCCAAATAAACTAAACAAGCCTGTCGAGTAATGCACAGCCCATAACCCCTTTTAGATGAATAAGGAGGGCTTGAGGTAATCTAAAGGATCATGTTACATCAATGTTTCTAAAATCTCCTTACACAGGTCATGTCTCAGATATGGGTTTTTCAAAATTCTTTTAAAATTCAAAATCCACTCTCCATCATAGGTATCTTACCACTTGAGCGAATGTTGATGAAAGGGTAGTTGGGCATCACCAGCTTGTTGAAGTTAAACTTGTAAGTAAACCTTTTCCCTTTTGTTTTGTGAAGTATCCTCTTGTTGTAATAGTATCTACAAAAAGAAGAACACATGGTATAGCACTTGCTATACTTAGGTAATTACTAAGATCAATTCTGGCTCTAAGCATTGCTTATAAAAGCCTTCACTATTTCTCTGTAGTCTGGCCCTGGAGTTAGGGCTTGGTGACCTAAGAATTCACTTTTCTCATCCAGTTTAAACTCAGCTGTAGTCTTTGACTGGAGTTTGACACAGACATTCTTGTTTTATGATCCCAAACACCTTTCTCAGTTCTAACCACTCACTTTCTCATTTCTCTCTATTTTCAATCTATGGTCCACTTCCTTCCTGCTCCACTCAAATAACTGTCTAGTTTCTTTCCTCTTGCCCAGGTTGGATCAGACCAGTCTTCTGAGAGAGCTCATGGGGTTCAGGAGACAAAGTGGAAGGACTAAACCGAGGAATGGAAACCTGTTGTATGGTAGGAGTGAGACAATGGCACAACCGGGAAACAGCAGCCACCGTGGCCAGCTTCACCTTCAACAGGGCATAAATAGGATGTGGGAGGCCCCAGCCACACTGCACAGACTTTACACTCAGGCTACCGAGAATGAAGAAAGACAGAGAACTTCCGTCTTTCTGGAAGCTTTGTCCTAGCTTCTATTAAGTAGCATATGTCATAAACTACCTGCTGGCCCCGAGGACTAAAGAATTAGAAAACTTAAAAACTGACAGAGAAGAGGGAATGAGAGTTGGATGAGTCCTAGCAAGCTATGGACTGAATGGAGACTGCAGGTATGGTGTGAGCACCCGGGCTCAGAGGCACTCAGCAAGCCTTCCTTCTGTACTCATTATACCTTTCCCACTTCTAGGAGAGCCGGAAGAAGAGAAATGATAGGAATTTCCCAATAGGGAAGTCTACACTAATCCTTTGGATTATAAGTGAGTCCCAGTCCATGTTTCACCACATGCTCTTACCCACTACAAAGCAGAATCAGCTGTCAGGAGCCAGTGCCAGCCACACTGGAATCTCCTCCTACACCTTCTCACCTCTTGTGCCACTGAGACTCAACACCTCTTCAACTCACACTTTTTAAGAAGTGCAGTGTTTCATCACCTGATATCTTTTTAGGTAGCATCCACAAAACTGCATACTTTCCAACTTTGTTAATACCACACATTTGGGGGATCCTTCCCCTCACCTGAGGGCCCGGCTCAGCTTGTCATAGTTCATCTGTGGTTTGCACTTCCTGCGGCCCCAGAGGCGAGCCACTTCGTCTGGATCCTTGATGACAAACTCCCCATACTCTCCCTGCTGCCAGGCGATGACATGGCGGAACTCGTCCTTCTGCAGCAGTGCCAGGATGAAATGCCACAGCTGGATCTGCCTGGAGCCTGGCGATGACTCTGTTTTGTAGGCCCAGTCAGGAAACTGATACCCTTAAATGTAAAAAGGGCAAGATCAAAGTAATTAGGAGTTAGGTACAAACATGTCAGTGCCCCCACCCCCACATTCCATGGCTCACAATCTCTAGAGTACTTTGAAAACACACCCTTCCAGTCAGCTAACCATGAAGAGGAGAGGATAGACAAATTACCTGTCCTTGTGGCAGTGAATCTAATAAAAGTTGGGCAGTGGTACTGAAGACTTGCTAATCTATCGCCTTTTCATAGATTACTAAATAACAAAGAAGCAAGATAAACTAGTATTTTAGGAACATATGACAGAAAACACCTTATCCCCAGGGTGGAGTTATTTCTCTAACAGAAAAAGAGATATTACAACCATTCTATCAAGATCTGCAGAGTTATGAGGCTGTCAGCCATGGTCTAGCATTTGTCAACTAAGCCCAAGTGGGAACAGGAACACTAAGGGATAGGAACCACTAAGGGACATTCCAGATCCATCAGAGATGATTAACTTGTGCTCACCTCCACCTCCTTCTGGCTTTTCCACGATGCTACAGCCTGCTTTCATTTTCGCCCTCCTGCTAAGAGAACAATCCCACAATTATTCTGAGATGCTAAGTCATTTCGAAAAAATTTTTTAATTTTTTTTTTTTTTTTTTTTTTTTTTTTTTTTGGCACAGCTTTTCCCCAAACATCCTTCTTTTTTTGCCTTTACTCCCCTCCCCCCCAAGGCCTTTTGTCTTTCAAACATGTCACCTCTAAACTACTAATCCTCAAATCATCAAATGATGGTCCTCAGGTCATCAGCTTCAAAAGCCATAATTATCTCTCACCTGACTTTAGCCACATGTGTAAACACTGTCCTTAATATTTCCTTTCTTCCTTCTGACCAGCCCTCCAACACAAAAAAGGAAAGGGAACAGTGAAACAAGTCCAAAAAGGCAGTAAAAATAAGCCAAGCAGTTTGTTTTCTATTACTAAACAAGCCCATATGCTAAGGTACACAAACCTGAGTTCACCCAGATATACCAATTTAAAGACTGAGAAAAATCCAAACCCCCCTACTCAAGAAGGAACTTCTGATTCTGAGTATTTACTGAATTATGTGAGATGGAAAACATCATCTTCCAGTCACAAACTGCACTCACCCTCAAAAAATATTCTGAGATAAAGAAAGCAGTAAATATGTCGTGTGTACAGCCACTCTGTACAAGAAACGGCACTTTCCTAAAATTCCATGGGAAAAATGTAATGGCATATATTTAAATAAAATATATGGGAAATAAAAAGGATAAGGTAGGTACTTGGGATTGCCTGGCCAGTGGTGGAAGGCATCTTGCTAGGATCTGAATTCATTCCATGCAGATTTATAGTTTCTCAATAAATTCCCTATTCCTAGCAACAGTCAGCTTTGTGTCAATCTTTCAGCAAAGAGGAGGGACGGGTGAAACTGGCAGAGAATGACGGAGGAAGAGAGAACAGACTTACTCTTATCACTCCGCAAGGGTGGACGACAGGCCCTCAGCACCGACAAGAGCAGGTCTGCAGCAAACGCAGGTGCTTCAGAGGCCCCAGGGTGGGGTGGGACAAATTCCTAATCTTGGAAATTTCATCTAACCTAGAATTCCTCTAGATGCTCTGCATTTTCTTTCCCGACATAGACATTAAGGAGAACAGTAAGTTTCAGTCCATAAGAACACTAGGGACCAAGGAGCTGATAAATGGCTCAAGGAAAGAGGCAACAGACAAGACACTGGCACACACAGGATATACACAGTAACAAGGCACCGGGGCTGGGCAGAAGCTTCCTCTCCCGTTTCCGTGATGATGCGGGAGAAGAAAACACCGATCTCCCCAAGGTTCCGGGAAGCTGTCCTGGACTAACTCCTAGACTACGCTGCCGGATCGCAGGGCCTTTTCCCTGCTCTGGAACACCCTTCAGCCTGGCTGCTGTGGGCTCGCGCGGGGCGACGCCCGAGCCGGATGCCCTCTAGATCCTCCGGCCCCCGACATGCCCATCAAGCCCCTCGGAGCCCGCAGGCGCGTCTGCAGGTGTTCGTGACTCCCGAGGGCGCTCGGTCACCCGCCCGGCTCTCGCCGCTCCCGCCCGTCCGCAGCGGCTCCTACGGCCGTCCGCACCCGTGTCCCTTCAGTCCTGCCCGCGAGGGCCGCGACCGCCGACGCCGGCCTCACCTCTCCGGCGCCGTCCGTCTCTACTCGGGCTCCTCCGCGGCAGCTCGGGCTCCTCCTCATCCACCCAGCAGGAAGTGACTCCGCGGCTGCTTTCGTCACTTCCACTCCAGGCGGGTGGGAGGGGGCGGTGTCCCCAGCCGACGCCGCTTCCGCCCTTAAGGTATCGGTGCCCCTCCGTGGCTCGGAGGTCCAGGCCGGGAGCCTCTCGTGGCAGGGGGTCGCTGCCGCACTGACTGGAGCCCAGGAGCTTCTGGAGCACGTGCGGTATTGGCCTTTCCTCCCTGCCCAGCCCAGGGGGGTAGGATCGTTTCCTCGCGTGTCCATTTTAGTTCTGATCGGCCTCGTCCAAGTATTGTAAAGTGCACGTCTTTGCCATTCAAACACCACCCCTCCCCTCCCCCGCTCGCGCTTTGCCTTTTGTTCCTGATTAGGCAATTACAAATTTGTCCGAAACAAACTTTGTTCAAGAGTTAGTGATAAGGGATCTGAATTCAGTTTCCGTAATTCCAAATGGTTCCCAGCCCTAGTTTCGCTCCAGAGGCAGAGATGGGATCAGTAAAGGTTAAGTGGACGAGAGTAAAAGGTGGTGAAAAGTGGAGGAGGCAAAGATGACAGGCGCGATGGGAGACCTTCATCAAATGCATAGCAACTGCATACAGATTTTCCCTCCTGTGAACGACATAGAACATGGAAATATTACCAATAGCTGTTAAAAAGGGTTGGCTTCTAGTTTGGACATGCCTATGTGCACCTCCCCAGACTGGCCAATGATTTTGTAACTATCCTGTGCTGTGCTGGGATTATAGGAATATACAACCACGTCGGACTTTTTGTTTGTTTGGAGACGGGGCTACTTACTACATAACCTTTGGTTGCCTTGGAACACTATGCAGCCCAGGCTGGCCTCAAACTCACAGAGATCTGTTTGCCTCTCCCTATCAATTGCTGGGATTAAAGGTGTGTGCCACTACACGAGGCTGACCACTAGTTGTTCTTGAGTCACTGATAAGTTCACTACTAAGTATGGTCTAAAGTTGCCTTACCAGTTTAAAAAGGGAGGAATGATAGTGTTGGTGAGGTCAAGCCTTCCCCACCCCTTCTATTTGGAAAGTCATACTATGAAGTAAATACAATGAACAAGATTTAAATGCCGTTAAGAGCACTTTGAGTGTAGAAATGCTTTATAATGGTCTCCATCTTCTGTTCAGTCTAGAAACTGTCTTTTATGTTAGGTTGAACAGAACACAATGCTAGGGTTTAGCTAAATAAGTGGTTCTAAAACTGTGGGCTGTGACCCCTTTGCAAACTTGTATCTTGAGAAATATTTACATCATGATTCATAACAGTAGCAAAATTACACTTATAAAGTAGCAATAAAAATAATTTAATGGTTGGGGGTCACCACGATGTATTAAAGGGTTGCAGCATTAGAAGAATTGGGAACCACTGAGGACTGAACATTATATTTCAGTCCTCTTGCCTTCAACTATTGGCTTTGCTACCTTGGTTAAGTACTCACTGTCAGTTCCTCATCTGTTTGAACATGGTATTTATGGAGTACTCTTGTGGACAACTATAGATGTTTAGCAATATCTTCTTGTGTAGGGGATTTTATAGGTATTTCATTGTTACATTTGACGTGTTAACATAATGTCGATGACTTAGGACAGAGAAGGATACGGTGTAAATACAGTATATGGATAGATGGTGACAAAATGATCTTCAGACTGATAAGAATCCTCAGATCTTCATACCATTCATGCAAATATTTGTCATTGTTAACTCAGAAACCAGGGTGATCAGAATGAGTGGTTCTTTTCAGAAACTCTGAGGTTGCCAACCTTTAGCTCGTGGTTTAAATGACATGGTTAGAGCCAGCACTAATGAAGAACCAGTAGCCAGAGTATGGGAACTCTTTCTGTAGATATTTTTGCTCACTTCTCTAGACAAATGATTTTCTGTGGCTATTTCTCTAACTGATTGGAGTCACAGAGGATAAGTTAACACAATTTACTGAGATGAACAGGTCTCAGGACTTGGCTTGAGTCTGAATTGATATCTTGAGAAATGTTTATATCATGGCAGATCTGAACAGAGTTCTCATTCTGACTATCTAGTTAATCATCTGCCTGAAGTTCAACAGGTTAATTTAGTTTTGATAAAGCAAACTGGACAGTGTGAGGGTCTGGGTGAGGAAGATTGGGACTGCTAGGGATTTCCTGCCCAGTTACCTGTCTGCCATATTCACCACTACATGGCTTCCTTCAGCATCTGTTGCAAACAGGCTTTTACAAGTTGAAGATTCTTGTGCTCTTGAAATGAGGAGAGTTTGTTCCTTCTACAAGTACGGGCGTGGAAACACTTAGATATAGCCTAGTAGTCAGGCTATCTTGTAATCACTCTTGAATTTCCAGTTGCTCAAAGCAGCTTTGACATTGCCTTCCTCCCCCTCCCCACCCATGTCTGTAATTGTCCCACATTTAGGATAAGGTTCAGTTCTAAGCCATGTACTCTCAAAATCCCATTCCTACCAAGATACAGCTACCCTCTGATTCCTAAATTAAAAAAAAAATAAAAAAGAGTTAGGTATAGTGGCACATGCTTGTCATTCCCTCACTGGGGAGGTAAAGGAGGAGCAGGAGTAAGGCCAGCATCCACGTAGGGAGTTTGAGGATGGTCTGGGTTACATGAGACCTTGTCTAAAAAAAACAAAACAAAAACAAATGAAACAAAGCAAAGAGGAAATTCCCTTAAATATATTTTTCTTCTAACAACCTTCCTGGATTGGTCTCCCTTCCATACTTCTCACTTGTTCCTTAATTGTTTCCACTTTCATTTATGCACTTATAGGTTTCCACACCCTAAACCTACCTGGATATGTGTATGATAAAATCCTTGCCTGTCTACTCTTGCAGTAGGTGACTGTTTATATTCCATTGACTTGTGTAATGGACATATCTATTCTTCTTAGAGTGTTTGTCTTAGGTTACAGGCCCCCACAGAGGCTCGTTTCCTTCATTGGAAGTGCCCAACGATGCCCATTCTTCTCTGTTGTCATAGGTGGAGGTGGTGGTGAGTGTGGCTTCACCCACTTCCTGGTCACCTCTAGAAGGCAGGAAGCTTCTGTCCTCCAAAATGTATCCTCACTAAACTGGATTTCAAGGACCCAGGTTCCGGTCCCTGTTCTGTGTTTGCTAACTGTTCTCTGACTAGACATTATTAGCTTACCTTAGTTCCACCTCCTCCTAGTAGAAGGGGACACTGTTGATGTTCTTAGTGAGGCCGAGGGACAGCATTTCTAAATTCAGCACCATGATTGCTTCTGCTACCATCCCTGGTGCCATACTATTTCTGGAATCAAGAGCTCAACCTTGATAGCAGTTACCATGTAATTTACAAATTTTGAGTAGATTCAGTGTTTTAAACCTGTTTCAAAATTTAATAATTAAAACTTGTTCCCAGAATTTAGACTCTTGGGTTGCTTCCTTAAGCACTATTTTCTGAGGCCTGGCTTCAAGTGCTACACATCAGTCACTCTCTGTTTCAGTTTCCCCATGAAGTGATCATGTGAAGATTTCCTGGGGTAGGGGACTGGGATGCACTCAGTTGTAGAGTGCTTGCCTAGTAGACCTAGTATACACAGAACTCCAGGTTGGATTCCCAGCACCATACAAGCCAGTGTGCTGGCTCACATTTATAATCTCAGCACTTGGAAAGTAGAAGTAGAAGATCAAGAGTTCAAGATCTTCTTCTACATGCTGAATTTGAAACCATCCCAGAGTATGTGAGATCCTGAGCAAATAAATACACTCCAGGAAGAAAAGAAATACTAAAACATTATTGCTGTTGATGAAATCAAAGGCAGAAAGGCTGATGTGAAATTGGTGTGTTTATAATTGTAATACCTTGGTTTACTCCTCAGTAAAGTGAAGACAAATTATAAAATGAACTTGGACTAGATATTATTTGCATTTTAATACATTGGACTAGAGTAGCTGGTAAAGTCTTCTGTTTGGTTTGTTTTTCCCATCAACCTAAGGTCATTGTAAGGATAGAGGAATTAATGTCGGTAACATGATTGGGGATCCCCAGATAAAAGGTTAAGTGGGCCCAAAGCAGAAGTAACTTTGCTCCAAGTTACAGCTAAGCCAGAAGGAGCAGAGAGCTTGGCTTTTTATTTGCAATGACTTGGGGACTCAAGGACTCTCCGGGATTCTACATCCATCATAGTCCACAAATACCCCTGCCTCTCATTTCCCCTTTTTGTGTCTTAGTTCCCGTTCAGGTCAGCACAGTGGAGAGGGTAGTGAGAGACCATGAAGAGCAGAATGGGAGAACAGGATCTACAGGAGGAAATGACCACTCAGGCTACTTTGGCTTTGTTTTATTCCTGGCAGCTCAGGAGAAAGATTCCCCTGCCCAAACGTTTGATTGTCCCTCTGTGTATTTCTAAGGCTAGCTTCTTCCAGGAAGCCCATGGAATTTAATGGGAGCAGAGGGCTAGCTTCTGGTTGGAACCCATTTAGATTGTATTCTCTAAGACCTAGCATTTGTTTCCCACTCTTATAATATCCAAACCTTGACCTGCTCACCACATGAACTTTATTTTATATTTATTCACTGTTCATATTTGGCTGTCATTCTCGTGTTTTTATTACTATCAATGTCACTTGCCATCTGGAGAGGGCAGAAACTGTTTATCTCTTTCTCCTGTATAACAGCCTATAACATGATAGCCACTGCAATAGAGACATGGGGTCATAGTCTAGTAAACACCAGCAATGCTCATTTTGAGCCTGTCACAAGTGAGGCCTCCCATGAAGTTAATTAAAGGCTATTGCCTTCATGCTTTAGGAGAGCTTTGCTGTAAGAATTGTCCATGAGCTGGGCAATGGTGGCACATGCCTTTGATCCCAGCACTCAGGAGGCAGAGGCAGGAGGATCTCTGTGATTCAAGGCCAGCCTGGTCTACAAAGTGAGTTCCAGGACAGCTAAGGCAGTTACACAGAGAAACCCTGTCTTGAAAGACAACAAAACAAAACAAAACAAAAATTTGTCCATGTATGCCCCAGGATCTTCAAGATGAGCGAACATCAGAAGTCATCTCTTTACCCTTTCATCCAGAGCTACCAGCTTCTCTTTGAACCCTCATAATGATATGAAGTTCACCACTAACTCACAACCCAGTCAATTGTTTTTCATTGTAAAATATATCGTGCCCACAAAAGAGAGCATGAAAATGTATGGTGGACCACGGAGAAACC